GGTGTTCTCTGCATGTTTCGTGCTTCTATTTGGTCTGGGTAGACGACAGGAGGGTAGACTACAGCCGAATTTCTTGATGGGGTGGGGTGAGAAACTCCGCAGAGCTCTGGAGAGGACATCACAATGAAGCACTTACATTACTGTTTGACTTAATGATGTGGTGAGTTATAGTAAGATTGTGGCAGGCAACATGATTCTACCGATCCAGCCTTAGGATTACGGATTAGGCGATCATTTATGGAAACGAAAACAATGCTCAACATTGATAGTTAGAAGAAGAGAAAGATTTAGCGACAGAATAATGTTTTCAAGACAGTCAAACAAGACCAACCCCAAGCCATTCATCCGGCAGTTGCAATGACATTCTAGTCAAAGATCTCCCCCAGATTAAGCTACCAGCTTCGATGACGGACACGAAGACTAGAGAGCGTTCGCAATAGCGGTGTAAGCAGCCTTGGGGTTATAGTTGCTGTCGAAGAGCAGAGGGCTGGAGCTGGAGCGCCACGAGTCCTAAAGAAGAAAATGTGAAATTAGTATGCTAATCATTTCCCTTGGTTCCTCCGAACGGAGACGGGCACTTACGGGGTCAGCAACTCCCCAGACAGTGATACCGACACACTTGGGCTGGTTCAGACACGCCTTGACGACCTAGGTTGTGTCAGTAAGTTGATCATGCCACTTGCAGAGGGCTAACTTACGTTCACATAGTCGGTGGAGCTAGCGCCCGCAATGTCGAGCTCGGTGATAGCGACCTCCTTGGTGCCTGCACCGGCGAGAGCATTGAGAGCTGTGAAGGACTGTCAGTTTTGCTGTATCGTGGACCAAAGAAAGGGGTACTTATCCAGAGACGGCAGCGCCGGCACCAGCGCTCAAGTGGGTTTGGGAGCCTTTATGATTAATATGTTAGATGGTATTCTCGGTAGCTCCAAGGCCGCGCGACTTACCAATTCCATCGATGGGGACGCCAGCTGCGACCCACTTCTTGACGTGGTTGACCAGGCCGGTCAATTTCGGGTACGAGGCGGAATCCAGGCTACGTCCGGATTAGAATCAGGGCCAGAATCCGAGGCATGAGAAGACAATCAGCAAGAATGACTTACTTGTAGTCGTTGATGTAAAGCTTTGCGTTGGGATCCACCGCGCGAGCGGTCTCGAAAGCGATGCGCACATAGTCCTCACCGATGACGTTGTAGAAGTGGCTCTGGCGAAGGGAGCCATCCTCGTTGAAGATCTCGTTGACAACGTCCTTGAACTGGTTAGAAAGCGTCACGACTCGAAAGATCGCAATTCGGGAATGGCTTACCCAGGCGTAAACTTTGCCCTTGTAGCGCTGCATCACGGTGGCGATGTGGTTCTGCATGACTTGGATCAGGGTGCCCTTATCGTAGATGGATTGCACCCAGGATGGGAGCTGTGAGTGCCAGACTGGTCGAGTTTAGTTTGCTTCTGAAGTATGGACGGTAGTACTGCGGGTCAATCGTACCGAGAGTGTGGCCGCGGATCAGCTTTCCGTTCGACTGGGCGAAGTTGACCTGGAGGATGTAAGTCTCGGGGTGCACCTGTCAGCTTTGGTGGAGGATACATACCAGGTAATCCGACCCCGAGAAGGAGAACTGTCCCCGATTGGCTATTTGCTGGTCAGAATCGCATCACACTCTTTTCTCGAAAGGTCTGTGCTCACGCTCAGTGGCATCCCACTTCATGCTGTTCTCCGGAGTCAGCTGGCCAAAGTCCGCCTTGATGATGGCCGGGGTCTTTGCGTTCTTGTTGAGGGTGTATTGGTCGCCAATGGTGCCCAGGTACTTCTTGCCGTGTGCCTTGAATTTGGCATCGACGCTCACTGAGGCCTGGCGGGGCTCGATGGGGTTGGCGAGCACATTGCTGGCGAAAAGAACGGCCAGAGCAGCTGCTTTGATTTGAACCATGTTGGAAAGAAGGAGTGGTTTTTCTTGAGCTTAATAAATGAAGGAATGGAGATGATGTTGATGGAGCGAGCGATGGGAAAGCAGCATCTACGTGGGAATGGAGCAGTATTTGTAGACAGAACGAGGCATCATCTCAAGGATGCCGAGTTGATGCTCAAGTTCTAGGCACTTGACCGGTGGAGTATCCCAATCGAGAACGGATATTGCATTGTTTCCCTTATTCAGATGTCTACTTCATTGCTCGAAGGCGAGAAATGATACTTCGAATTCTGATTAGCCTGAATGGGTGAATGTAGGCGTTTAGGCTGGCTAGACCGAAACGCCAAGCTCGCTCATCGAAATTATGAAGACCATCTGAATCTACAGGGGTGGAGACCGATGTTGCACGGTTGTTCACATAGCCTGCCGATGGCTGCCCATCAGGGTCCAGGGTCTACCTCGGTTCCAGAAATAACTTGGCCCTGAATAGATTGTATGCGGGAATAGCCGATGCCAAGCATTTCCTACGGAGACCTTTCATTTCTAACCGGTATTTGCTGCGGGATTCATGAGGAATCTACCGCACTCCATAGTCCTAAGAAGCCCAGCCAGAGACCACTGATATGTGGTCAATCGCGAAGCTCCATCCGGGCTGGCAGACACAATTACAAATAAAGCTCACCTTCATGCTGGCAGGTGTCAATAAGAAGGTCAGCTACAGTTGAAGGCGAAGTTTAAATTGTTTTGGCATGAAACCTTCATCTCGGGGCAGTGTATCAGCCTAGAACCAATTGGCTTGGCACCCCACACGGACACACGTCTAGACTCGCGTGTACTTGCCAGACAGTAGCATGCCTCGGCAGCTGGTTAATCCAGCAATGCCGAAGCACATTATCCCAGTGCGATTCAACGGCTATCTTGGTGCGGTGGTATGTTGAGAACCCGTTCTGATCAGGGCAATGGTCCGGTGGACAGCTGATTTTGGCTGATGGAGTTTAGGCGCCAGCGTGAGCTGGTAAATGCTGGATACCCGGTCCTGGTGAATCAGCATCAGACAATGAAGGAAATCAAGCACACTGTTTTATCCGAAACGTCTGGCTTGTCTAGCGAGGACATAACCAAGACGTTTTTCAGGCCACATTACTAATTTCCAGAGCCAGATTGCAAAGTATTTCAACAGTGGTGCTGCCCTCTATCTAGGACTTATCTTTTCTACTCCAAGCCTTTCATCACCAACTCATTCTCTCTTTCTCTCTGCTGCAGAGGAGACTCCGACAACATGAAATTCCTCAAAGCCAAAGCTGGTCTGCTGTCGTCTGGCATCTGCCTTCTCATCTCTGCTCCCTTTGCCTCCGCAAGCTGCCCTCTTCCTTCGACCTACTCCTGGACCTCAACCGGGGCTCTCGCAACCCCCAAGTCCGGTTGGACCAGCCTTAAGGACTTCACCGATGTCGTTTGGAATGGCAAGCACATTGTGTATGCATCCACCACCGATTCTAAAGGCAGCTACGGGTCGATGACCTTTAGCCCATTCTCCAACTGGGCGGACATGGCTCAGGCCAGCCAAATCGCCACGAGCTTCGGCGCCGTGGCTCCCACCCTGTTCTACTTCCAGCCCAAGAACATCTGGGTGCTCGCCACCCAGTGGGGGTCCAGTACTTTCACCTACCGCACCTCCACCGACCCCACCAACGTCAACAGCTGGTCGGCCGAGTACCCCCTATTCTCGGGCCAGCTCGCGAGCGGTGAAAGCTCCGGCACGGGCGCCATCGACCAGACCGTGATCGGTGACGCCACGCACATGTATCTCTTCTTCGCCGGCGACAACGGCAAGATCTACCGGGCCAGCATGCCCATCGGCAACTTCCCGGGCAACTTCGGCACGCAGTACGAGGTGGTGCTCAGTGGCGCCCGGAATGATATCTTCGAGGCGGTCCAAGTGTACACCGTCCAGGGCGGCCAGGGCCAGAGCAAGTACCTGATGATCGTCGAGGCGATCGGCTCGACTGGCCGTCGGTACTTCCGGTCCTTCACGGCCAGTAGTCTCGGCGGGACGTGGACGCCCCAGGCGGCGAGCGAGAACCAGCCCTTCGCGGGCAAGGCCAACAGTGGTGCCACCTGGACCCAGGACATTAGTCACGGCGACTTGGTGCGCAACAACCCGGATCAGACGATGACTGTCGATCCTTGTAACCTCCAGTTGCTCTATCAGGGCAAGGACCCCAATAGCAGCGGCGACTACAACACTCAGCCGTGGCGGCCGGGAGTGCTCACTCTGAAGCACTAATGTGGTTTGTTTGGATGGATGAGTGGATGAGTTGTTTGGGGTGGGGATGATGTGAGATTCGAGATGCTCCTATAGCCGAGGTCATGTGGCACGGAGATGCCCTAGTTAACTCCCTATGAATGCTCATCAAGCCCAACGATAAATACCTCTAGCAACCACAGAACCATTGATTCCTCTTGGATTTCGAGTAGTCATTAACATTTGCTAAGAGCTGTGACCTTGGTCTTTACAGTTGGGCATGTCCTCGACCGTAGCATGGAAACCTCCACTCCACCTCTCTTCATCTAAATTTACCAGCCTTGTTGTATTGTGACATATGACTACCTAGGCAGGATGGACAAGGGCTGACAGAGACCGCTCTCAAATTCTCGCTCACTCTAGTAACATGAGTGCACCAGGTACTAATCTGAGTTTTGGAACATTGATTGGAGTGCAGGCGAGAGATCATAAGCACTACGTTAGTAGGTATAGCAACCTAGTCCGCATCAGAGCTGGGATGAAGCAAGAATCCACGCTAAAATGAAGACGGCCACTTATATCATCGGACGAGTGCTCCACAACAAGCGGGAAATCGAATCAGAGTTAAGCCTGAGCGGGATTACCCGTTAATCTAACAGACATGGTGCGTGCACTACGCAGTCATCAATAAGCCAGTCATGCTAAGCTGACAACTTAGGGCATCGCCTCGATCACGAACAACAGCGTTACAAATCCCCCGTCCTCGCACTCTCAACTCGATTCGTCCCATCACAACTTCCGCTTCATCACTCGACTCTTTCCCAGTACACCCCAAACCCCCTAATCCAAGCATGTCCCCCAAGAAACCTATCTTCGTCCTCATCCCGGGCGCCTCGCAGAACCCCTCGCACTACGCCCACCTCCTCCACCTCCTCCAATCCGCCGGCCACGGCACCTTCACCGGCCTTCTCCCCAGCATCGGCGCCACCGACCCCATCACCGCCGCCGACGACGCCCACTACATCCGCCACCGCCTGCTCCTGCCCCTACTGGACGTCGCCCAGCAGGACGTCATCCTGATTAGCCACTCCTACAGCGGGATGCCCGCCAGCGCCGCCGCACGGGGACTCGGTCCCACCGACCGCGCTGCAGAGGGGAAGACCACCGCCGTGCTAGGCCAGATCTTCATCGCCAGCATCCTGCCCCGCGGCGGGGACGGGTCGAGTGTGATTGACGGGTTTGGGGGACGGTTGCCGCCTCATATCCAGTTTGATGTATATTCCCCGCCTTAGCCTTCCTCATCCCCACTAGCATGGTCCTCTGGCGTTGCCAATGGCTCAAGAAACATGTCTGCTTGTGATTTGCCCACCAGTAGACTAATATGTCTTTGTTTGTGCTCTAGGAAGAAGAGAACCTCCTCAAATGCGCCGACCCCACTCCCCCGCTCTTCTACGATGTCGAGCCCGTCCTCGCGGCCGCGGCGGCCCGCTCCTCCCTCAGTCAGGGGCATACTTCGTTTGCGAGCCCGTGTCCGGCGGCGAGCTGGGCGACGGAAGCGTTTCGCGGACGGGTCGCGTATGTCCATACCCTGCGGGACCGCGCGGTGCCGTATGAGGCGCAGCGGGCGATGATGGAGGCGACGGGGGTGGAGTGGGTGACCCGGGAGTTGGACACGGGGCATAGTCCGCAGATGTCGGCCGCGGAGGAGTTGGTGGGGGTGATTTTGGAGGTGGCTGGACTGTGGGTGTAGTGTTTGGAGAGCGTGGTAAGCTCGGGGCATGTCGGAGTTTGAGATCTGCTGGGTTGGGTCATTCTGACTTCTGGATGTTAATGTGAATTTCATGGGGCTTTTTTGGTTGTCTAGGGGGTGGAGATTGAGAACAGAATAAATACACTCGATTATAGAACCACTTGACTACGGACGTTACTCCCCTATATTTCCAACAATCCTGAGAACCTAATGTGGGAGGATTGTACCGTAGTGAGTGCTGCGAAAACATATATTCGCAGCCACGGGTCTCTTATGAATTGTTACATGACACATACATGGGCTTAGAAGTCAACTTAAGAAGGCTTTGCGTGTCAATACCAAGTCAAATTAGATGACCATCCATCATATTCTCCCATTCAGTTTCAATGACGGCTTGATGCAACCGACTCCGAGGGCGAAACTTGGCTTTGAAGGGCTGTGGCCGTGAGCTGATCCCCTGCGTCATAGCAAAGGGGTCCGGCGGCGCATTCCCCACATGTTGAATGTCAGAAGCCCACAGCATGCGCGAGATGACAAGATGCAATGAGCTACGAGCGAGATGCTCGCCCGGACAAAGCCTGCGCCCCAGCCCAAACGCGCAGGTCGGTAGATCGGGGTTCTTGATCCAGCTCTCCGGCAGGAAACTGTGCGGATCCTGGAAGACATGTTCATCGAACTCCAGTGACCAGTGATTTCGGATGACGGTCGCACCTTTCGGGATGCGATAGCCCATGTAATCGTCGTCCTGAATCGTGCAATGGTGTAGACCTCCTGGGACGACTGGCCGCCAGCGCAGCACCTCTTCCACAAACGCCTGGAGGTACGGCAGCCAAGGCATATCGTACAGTGTCGGCATGCGCTGACATCCTACTACTTGATCGAGTTCAGCCTGCGCGCGCTGCACAGCAGGTCGCTGCAGCACTGCCACCAGGACGAAGACCTCGAGCACAAAGGCCGTGGTGTTGCTGCCGGCCTCGTAGTTGACTCCGACAACGTGGGCCATTTCGTCGACGCTGAACATCGACTCGGGCCATCGGGTGCGGGCAAGGTCGCGGACGGTATGACTCCATGTCTTTGTTTCTGTCGTATGGAGTGCCCTCTGCATGTGGTAACTGAAGAATCGCGCCTGGCTCTCCTGCAGTCGGGCGGCGCGTTTTCTCCACGATGCCAGCCAATCCGGCAGATGGTCCAGGATAGGAAACGCCACTCCTGGCAAGCACACCTCGCCCAAGAGCTCGCGCATGATGCGATCGATCTCCCTCACCTCTGGCTCATCCCCCCTCTCTAGTCGACGCCCGTACGCCAGCGCGAAAGTCAACCTCGCGGCGAAGCGGTGAAATCGTCCCGCAAAGTCGTTGGTTGAGAGCAGCTCCCACAACAACTGCTTGCACTCGAGATCCTGGAGGTTGATGTAGTCGTTGCATTGGCGCTCGTTCAGGAGTGCATGGAGGAGGAGACGGTGCCGGCGCCACCGCGGACCATACGGTAGCGCCACGGCTAGAGAGTCGCTGCCGATGGCATCGGCAAAGTACGCGGGGCGAGAGCCGTAGATTGCTCCTCGTTGTTCGAAGAGCTCCTTTGCACATTGAAATGAACCGACGATGACCACGGGGTGGAAGCCCACCCAGACTGTGAAGATGGAACCGTATTGGTTGTGCCACGTACTTAGGGCTCGCCACGAATCCCGCCATGGGAATTGGTGGAGGTTTCCGATGATGGGGAGTGGCGGCGGCTCGGGTGGGTATTGATGTCGTTTCATGTTGAGTCGTACAAGAAGGTACAACGAACCCAGAACTGTTGTCGCGAGGAAGATAGTGATTTTTGTTTTGAATCAAAACACACCGTTGGCAGTATGAGGGCGCATTTGAGGTGCAGATATCGTAGTTATCGACTTCCGCGAGTCCGCCACTATTTGAACCTTGCGGTTCTGTGCCCAGCAATCCAACTCAGTCGACATGATGTCTTGCGCAAGAAACCTGGGAAAAGCCTCATGACTGGGATCCCCTACGTCAGATGCGTATTGTCAATGATGCACACAGTACTGGGGCCCCTTCTGTGTAGACCTGTTTGTGGAAAACCAAGCACAAGGTACAACTCAATCTGAGTGTTATTTCAAGAAATATATGGATCCACCGTTTATGCATACAGAACATACCTTCTGACTCTCCATACTCGAAAGCACTGATAGTGCCTATAGAATAGACTGTAGTGTGCACGGGTCGTGTCGTAATTGATCTACACCGTGATAAGGATTGAGCTATCTTGGCAGGAGTCTCGCTTTGAGTGCATAAGACTTGCTTCATTGTTACCCATCAGTTGGCTAGTAAGCTACAATACAGGAGAGAAATGATAGGTATGGGGACCTTGGTCAAACTTGTTATTGTGATCCAGAGCCTGCAGACTAGAAGTCAATCATCCAAGAACTGAGCCACGAGCCGGTCACACCAGAAGGTCATAGAGTCATGGAAGCCAAGGTTACAGAGAGCCTTGCTGTTCAAGCGACGAAGTCGACATATAAAGCTACCTGGCGTGCCTTCTTCATGGCATATCATCCTCCCATGATTAAAAACATCACTACTGCTAGAATGCCTTCCACCACCCATCTACCTGACCAGAATATATTCACCCCGCCTTATGATGATCCTCCCGATCCGGAGACAATCCGAATCAGCTACCTGCGAGCTCGAAACATCACAAGATACTATAGTAAGCCATACTTCAATTGCAGCCGTTCTCCCGCACTGACTCTCACACTACCTCAGAGTTCGAGCCAAAGGATGTTCGTGGTTTGTAGAGCACTGCGGGCTGTCGCGTGAGGCGCAGCTGGACCAGGAGCGGCGGGCGCTGGATGCGCTGGAGCCCAGGGTTGAGGAGTTATTGGACGGGCTGGGGGTGCAGTGGTTTTGCACCGTGCCGATTCTCTCGGAGGAGCACATGGAACGGTTTGTGGCGGGGTTGTCGGCTTTTGGGAGGCCGGAAACAGCGAGAGGGGGAGTCGCCTGTGATGTGGTCGTACCTTTCCCTTCGTTTGTTTCTCCAGTAAATGAAGAAAGATAATTTGATTCTGGGATGGATACGATTGTTAGATTGCAGGGGCAGAGCAAGGTGTGTTCGTTGAAGTATGAAGCCGAATCTACATCGCAGCATGGATGCTAACCCTAATCGTCGGTCCTGACGCTAGCTCTCTCCTTTCAAAATCGCTCGATCAAGTGACGGAAGAGCAGTCAATCAAATCACTCATCTTGCGTAACTTTCGAAATAATTCCCTCGTATGCGAGCAACAAATTTGTAACTGGATTACAAAGCACAAAGAAGCGCGAAGACCAGCTATAGAAGAGGATTCCATGCTGTGGGCCGCGGAAGATGTTTTCCGCCATGCACTCCCAAACCGAAGACCCTGGACCCACATAACCTCACAAGGATGACCATCTTCTTCAAACGATTATGTGGATCTAGAAAAGCTTCTACAGGTCAATATTTGTCAGCACCGACAGGTTTCGCTGACCATTCCTGGTTCAATGATTGCCAGTATGCTAACTCAAGATATATTCGTCACCGCTATGTCGCTCAGATCAACGACGTACTCCCAGGCCATAAATGCGCTCGCATCTTCCAGAAAGCAAGTCACATCCAGTCGACGAACAACACCCTTGCGAGCAAAATGTCTACCACCATCCGAGTTGCCATAGTCGGAGCCAGCGGCGAGACGGGCCAATCCATCGTGAACGCGCTTCTAAGCTCGTCCACCCCCAAATTTGTGCGACCATCCAGCGGACCCCCATCCATCGCGCTCCCACCCTCCCTCTAAGAACCATCGTGTGACAGGAAATCACCGCCCTGACCAGACCGCAATCCCTCCACAAACCCACCAACCTCGCCCTCCAAGCCCGGGGCGTCAACATCGTCCCCGCGGACCTCCGCGGCCCCGCAGCGCCCCTCATCGACCTCCTCCAGGGCATCGACGTCGTCATCTCAGCCATCCACTTCGACGCACTAGCGGACGAAATCCCCCTCGCCGACGCCGCCAAAGCCGCAGGCGTCCAGCGCTTCGTGCAATCCGCGCTGATGATCGTCATCCCGCCGAGGGGGGTGGTGGATTTCCGCGAGAAGGTGCGCGAGCCTCACCCCAACCACAATCCGATGAAATACTAACCCCCCGGCAAAAAGAAAGAAGAAAACCTGCACCACATCCAAAAACTCCGCCTCCCGTACACCTACATCGACGCCGGCTGGTGGCACCAACTAACCCTCCCGCGCCTGCCGTCCGGCCGCGTCGACCATCTCCTGCCTCGCCCTCCCGCGGCCCATCCAAGCCTCCCGCTGGGATTGGACGGGAACGTGCCGACGGCGCTGGCGGATCTGCGGGACGTGGGGCGCTACGTCGCGCGGATTATCGCCGACCCTCGGACGGTGAATAAGCGGGTGCATGTGTATAATGAGGTGTACACGCTGAATCGGGTGTATGAGGTGGTGGAGCGGGTGAGTGGGGAGAGGCTGGGCCGGAGATTTGTGAGTTTCTTTTTTGTTTTTTTTTTTTTTTTTTCTCTTGCCTTGTTAGCAAAACACACCTCTGGGATGGGGATTGGGATAGCTAATACTTGATGACAAAAGGTATCGGAGGCGCAGGCGCGTGCGGCCGTGGACGACGCGCGGACGCAGCTGTCCCTCACCCCTGGCGATCCTACGGCCTTGCTGGCGCATGTCGCGGCCCAGTTGTTTTATTCTTGGGCCATCAGGGGGGATAATACTCCTGAGTATGCACGGTACCTGGGGTACGTGAGTGGGAAGGATTTGTATCCGGATTTTGAGTATGTTTCTTTTGAGGAGTATGTCACTGAAGCGATCAGAGGGGAGGGGAAGGGGGTTTATCAGGATAGGTGAGGGTGTGGCTAATGGCTACATGCCTTAGTTCTTGAATGTTGCCAGCAAAAGGAAATATAGACGTAGAGACGGAGGCAGAATGAGAGCTCAACCCTCGCATAGGGTAGAGGCGAGAAAAGCAGAGCGGAAGTAGGAATCTATACAGGATACATGCAAAGCCTGGAGAATAAAAGCAAGACTGTATTACAGTACAGTACATAATCTTGACCACCACTCCTCCCCACCCCATCAAGATCCACCGCTACTCCCTTACATGAGCTACTCCCTTACATGACGCCCATCCCGCGGCCCCACCCCCAACCACAGCAGATCCGGCCGACTGTAATGCCCACAGACATCGACAAAGGCCCTCGTCCGGTGAATGGGCCCATCCAGGTCCAGGTCCGCGTAGATGATCCCCTCCTCCGTGCTGGGGATGGGCGCCGACAGCAGCCGGCCATCGGGCCCGAAGATGGCTGAGCTGCCGCCTCCGGGGGTACTCATGATGCTCCCCGTGGCGGTCTGCATCTTGTCGATCCCGGCCTGGCTGAGGACGGCGGTAGTATGCAGCACGTAGGACTGAGACTCGATGGCGTAGGTGCGGGCGAGGGCGATGGTTCCTGCATTTGATTCGTGGTGTTAGTTATGCGAGCTTGTGAAGTATCCAAAAACCGATCCAGGGAGAATCAGTACGAATGAGAATGGAGAGGGGCGGATTGCGGGGGGAAGGAGAAATACCCTCGCGCGACATGGAGTACAAACACTCCTCTTGATCATCCGCGTCGAACAGCGGCGGCCAGGCGGCGACGTGGATCTGCTCGCGCTGCGCATACGTGTGGTACTTGAGGAGGGGTTGGATGTGCTCCCAGCACGAGAGGGCGCCCACGCGCCCGGCGGCGGTGGTGTCGACCACGCTGTTGAGGCAGTCGCCGAACGAGTCGCCGAAGATGGTCCGTTCCATGTGCGTGGCCTTGATCTTCTTGCGCAGGGTCAGAATCTTCCCGTCCGAGTCGATGATCGCCTGCGCGATGTACAGGGAGTGGTGGATGTGCTCCGAGAACCCCAGCACCACGGCGATCTTGTGCTCCGCGGCGCAGCGCTGGATCGTCGCCATCTGCGGGGAGTCGACTTTCAAGGAATTTTGGATGTACAGAGATGAAAGGCTCATGTCGACGGGGCGGGACCTTTGCGGATTTGCAGGAGTGCTTGTGTCAGGTTGAGTGCCAATTTGTTTGCAGGGCTTGGGGAGGGCAGGGCGAAGGGCTTGTCTTACCAGATCCAAGCGGGATAGCCCGGGATCCAGCATTCGGGGAAGCTGATCAATTGCGCGCCGTTTTTGGCGGCTTCAGCAATGAGAGTACATGTCTTCGCGACTGTTGCGTCAAGATCCAGCCACACTGGTTCGGCTTGGGTGACGGCGACGCGGACTGTTGAGGCGGCAGGGGCGCGCATTGTGAGATTGTTGTGGTGCTGGATTTCTGGATGTTTGGGTAGAGCAGGGGAGACTCAAAGCCTTCCGCGCTGGAACAATTGAGTATCCTCGCTTATAAGAATCATGCAGCGCAATCGGAGGAGTGACCGTGATAACATTGATTAATCAATTATTGTGACAGTTGCACCGTCGCAGTCGGATAGTTGTTATCAGATTCACGTTATCTTGGGGAAGTTATCGAGGCGGAATTTATCTTCCGCCGCTTTACCCCGCCCGCATCTCGGCGAACTGTCAGACTACTTCGGTCTTGCAGCTGATGTATTAAAATGACTTCTTGGCTCCATCAATACGATTAAGTACCTGCAAGAGAATAGATATACACCATTCCGTAGGCGGATATGCTCCTCAATTCCAGACTTGGATCCCTCGATGTGTTGGAGCGGGCTGAGAACTTGAAAGTATACCTGACGTAGGGCTTTAGCTTCGTCTGAAAGAAATGTTGTATGATAGAAAACCCATCAAGTCGGATATGTCTCAGTGCAACGAGTCGAAGACTGAAGTTTAATTGAGAATAATGCTATGCTGCTTCCCCGAAAGAATTCTGCTGGTAGTCTGTCATGTCCAAGAAGTCGAGGCCGGCCTCGTGGAGGATGTCGGTAAATATGCTGCCGGTCTTGGTTTCTTCACTGTCTAATAGAGTGTCCTCCTCCTCATGAGTCTCCTCCATGGGCAGCCATCCTGACTCAAGCTGCTCCTCTTCTGAGACCTCCCCTCTCGGATCAGAACAGGCAGGAAAACCGTGCTGCAAGGGCAAGGCCGCCATGACCTGCCATCGGCGCGCTAGCTCTCGCAGGAGACGAATCGCGCGCCTCGCTTTGATCCACCGCTGCTGCATGACCCACAGGGCCTGGAAACACACCCGGAACTGCGCAATCGACGCGCTTCGGAGGCCTTGATGCGTCGAGGTCGCATTGCAGAGGTGCGTCACGGCGGCTGTGAGCACACTATGAACCACGAATGGGGGCATGTGGTCGAGCGGTGCGACCTTGCGGTACTCGCGGAGGAGTCGCACGATCGACGCCGCAGCGGTGGACATGGCCCGAATGCATAGCTGATACATGCTGCTTTGCTGGGTGGCTTCTTTGAGATACGGCCGGTGGATGAGGATGTGCGACATGTGGTACGAGATGTGGAGGTAGATGATGGAGGGCAGGACTACCTGACTCCGGCCCAGCCGCATTCGAGCGTCTATCTGCCGTCGAAAGGCGTACAGCTTCTCCCGCGCATCAAGCAGGATACGCGACTTCTCGGCGCTGCTTAGGCTGGTAAATTCGAACGAGTAGCTAGATGTTCAGCAGAAATGAGTGGGCATTCTAAGCTCATCCTGGTTCTAGACCGAGAACGTACATTCTATCCATATGTTGATCATGGATGAACCACAGGCGACATTGATGGTCAAAGGCTAGCTCGTCTAGAGAAGGTGCGGAACCAACGGTGCTGATAAAGGACTGGGTCTTGATCCGCCTCCATGGGAGCATGCAATTGCGTCCCAGAAGAGATGTCGCGATTCTGTCTCGGTGGCATCAGTTTGTAAAGCTTTCCATCGCAGGCTTGCCTCTCACGTACCGATCCATGAACACTGACGACCAGAGCGCTCTCAGCCGGATGTGATGAGTATCCGGCTCTTGGTGTACATTGACGGGCTCGGAATTAAACACCACAATCTCTTGCGTCATGCTCACCGGTAGGCCTAAGTGTAGCGCCATGCTCGCACACATTGCTTTCCAGGTCATAGTTTGTTAGACGCGACAGCCCCGCGAGTTATCGAATTAAAGAGCACTCACAGTTGTACATCCATGCCATGTTGTGTTCCTCCATTCCTAGCTCCCGCCAGCACATGATAGATAAAGCCTGTACGGTAGACACACTCGGCGATTCCCGACAGTGCTGCATGACCATGGCATCAACCACGGCTGCAGCCTCCTCGCCAACTGCCCTGCTCTTGGCGTCATCCGCGTGGAGTGCGCCAGCTGCCAAGGCAGCGGTCTTGATTAGTGTGAGGTCTGCATTTAGGTGACTGCCGTGCAGCTTCTTCAGGGTCTCAGTGTCGATGAATTGCTGAATGGGGTTAACGTATTGGGTGAACAAATCGAGTAGGTAACTTTTAGTATCTCGTATGTCCGTCCGACCAGAGCCAAAGGAATCTTCTTTAGGACCTGAGCCAGTGAGGCTCGTAGGAGGCGTATGCTTCTGTCCACCCATGCCCATATCCTCCCGATGGGCGACAGGGAAACAGAAATTCCCTGACGGCCCAATGAAAGCTTCCTCTCCATTGCTTTCGATACTCATACGCCAGATCAAGGCGCTGACGTCTTCAATCGCAGTGGCCATGCTGTCCGGCATCGCAGAGGTAACAGCAGCAGGACTTGCAGCATCGTCGTCAACATTCGCACAAGCCTGGTTTCGTTCCGGTGGAACGTCCTCAGTGAACGAGACGGCATCGACGGGTTGGGATCGGTGCAGCGCATCATTGAGCATTGCGATCTGATCTTCTAGGCCCCTCACGTAGTCTGCATCAAACCTGCGCCTGTCATGGTTCAAAAACTTGTTAAATTCGGGGCCGGAGACTGTTGAAGGGGAGTGCAGACCTATTGCGCTTCTCGGCATTGTACTGGCAAGCTGCGCGCTTGGCTATACACAGGGAGCAAGCGGGGCGCATCCCATCACACTAGTAAGAGCTTGCCAGTCAGCCTGATGCGACTGGTCACTTGTGACTCATTCATCAAGAGGAGATTTCGTTGGTACGGAGGCCGATTAGGTGCTTTACCTTGCGCTTCCGTCTGCGGCAGGTTTCACAGGCCACCGAGACGCGAGAGTTCGAGCTATTGGAGTCCATCGCGTGGCATTCAGCGCAGCTCAGGCATTGAGGTGGGAGCTTCTTCGACTCTTCCTCTCTCAACGGAGACGCGTACAGTGGAGAAGAGGCGGAGGTAATGTAGCAGTGACGGTTCGTTTGTATACAGAGAGAGGGAAGAGGAGTGATAAGCGATGCTGGAATCACGTAAGGCGATTCGATAAGGGAGCAAGTGCGGCCTGAGCCATGGGGCATCAAGACTACTCCACTTGCAGAATTCTGCCGGGCGGTGGGATGTGACTGCTTCTTGCCCTAGGTATGTGCTTCATCTCTTCAAGTCATCGTTCCTCACATTTGCACACCAAAGGAGAAATACCTTGCTTGGAATACTAATCTATATCTACCTCCACACAATGAGCTTGATTCCCGCTATACAGTACAGATGCAAATCATATGGGACCATATTGAATTCTGGACGCATTAGTCCGTGTCTTATGCTTCTCAAGCTCTTGATCACTTCATGAAGCAATTTTTGCGGGCTTCTCGTACCTTACCAAGGCTATATAGATCTGGCAGGCAGTTAGTGCGGCGCTACTAGATAGCAACAAGCCTAGCGTATGACGAGCTCATAATCCTCGATGCTTAACCATTAGTCTACGGGAAATGAACACTAGTCCCGTTGTTGCTAGAACTACTGTAGTCAGCGATATTCGATGTTCAACGACACAGGCAACG